TGTTTAAATCGTGGCACTCGGGACTCTATTTCCATCGAGCAAGGACAAAAACCGAGTGTTTCAGTCATACCACTTGAGGTTTGTACGTGGTCTCAGATCCATGGAGGCCCGTGGGGAATCCGTGCGACAGTGATGGCAAGCAGTGAACAGCAGCCGCAACACGAACATGTGCAAGTTCAAACCCATTCAAACGGGCCAGGAGCATGCAGCACACTCCCCCCAAAAAGCAACAAGGCGTGAGTCTTTGGAGGTTTTGCAGGTTTTGCTCGACCAACCCAGGGTAGACTCGCCCCGTCGCTCACCTTGTTCTTTTTTCCCACCCCTAAGGCCCCTCACTGTCTCCCTCGCCGGGGGGGGATGCAGTGATCCACCGCTGGGATTTGCAGCATGGCGTGGAGGCCATGAATGTGTGGCCATGGGCGGAAGCGAGCGGGTCTCGACGGTTGCGCATTCGTATGCTGTTGTGAATCTGCAGAATGGGGTGGCTGCACAAGCCACTTGGCAGTTCTTCCGTGGGGTGGCATATCGGCATATTTCTGGGGATTTCGTGTCAGGATTCCTGGGCGTTTTCTATCGAAACCGCACCATATGCCCGGGGTCGCAGGTGACCTCTGGACGCCGGCTCAGTTGGATCCTTTGGCTGCAGGCGGGATGAAGACCTGACTCAAGGGGGTGTTCCCTATGCAACATCAGAAGACTCCGGAAGAATTGCCAGGTTGAGACGGAGTTGTTGCAGGACATCCAAAGGAAGGTTTCAAAGTAGCCCCACCCACCAAGAGAAACTTTGGATCTTTTGCAGGGACAACCGTGACGACCGTGTTGCGCAACGCACGAGTTTGTAGGCGCCGGCACCTGCAGGACCAAGCACCGTGTGTGACGCAAGTGGAACTTCATCAGCGATCCTTCCTGCAGTCCGCAGCAGAGGCTGGGCGTGGCGCAGGTTGGAAGGGCACGCAAGGAATAATTATTGATGTGATGAGAGGAGAGGGGAACAACTGAAATGCGTTGCAAGCGAAGAGGATTCTTTCACTTTTCATTCACCAGAGTTGTTTTTCCCTCAACAAACCACACAAAGCTGGCTGCAGCCTTGTCTCATGTGAGGGATGACATGTGGATTGATCGAGCAGTGTTTCTATGAAATATGTTTGTGTTGACTCTGTTGACCTCTTTCGAGTTTCTTTTTTGGAAAGTTGAGTTTCTTTGAAAGCATTCTGGCATGGCCATTCGCACGGCCCACGACATGTGCACTCGGCCTGTGGAGCTTGTAGTTTGTAGAGCCTCAGAGGATGGAAATGTCGTGGCCATGCAGATCCTCGGAACAGGCTGGAGCTGGAGTTTGATGTAGCATGTGGCTGCCCTGCTGTGGCCTGCAGCCTGCATAGCTAGCCGAAGCTGTAGTACCAATAAGTACTATTAATAGATGTCTATATAGATTGATACTTATAGACTATTCTGCTTCATGATGTCGAGGTGCCAGAAAGGCATCTCAAGTTCACAAGATCAAGCTACGTCAAGTTTGTCACGAGTTTATGATGGTCGATGCAGATCTATTCCTTGGTCTAGGTAAACAAGGAGATGCTCAGACTGCCCCAACTTTCCTGCTGCATGGACGAACGTTGGTGCACCGAACGAGCAGGCGAGAACGGGCGCAGCGAAGAAGGCCAACGGTGGCTCCGCATGGCTGCAGAGGCTCAGCACCCGGAGATTTAAACTATCAGGCAGCAGCAAGGTTAAAACATAATAACTTGACTTTCCCCAGTTTGCCTGCACAGTATTTCTAGTGCTTTTCTTGACTTCCTTTTGCAAAGCACGCACTGCAGCCTCCGGTCGCAACTGGAAACAAGAAGGGAAGCAGCATGTTGATGGCATTTGATGGCCATCCGGTTGAAGGCGGCCAGATGTTTGGCCAGCAACAGAAAAGGCATGCTTTCACGGTGTGATGCTTCACAGGGGTGTTCAGATTAGGCCGAAAGCGACGCTCCGCCGCAAGAGTTTGCCAGGCTGGTTTGTCAGGTGCCATGGCCCAACTGGCTAAGCACCTCAGGGAGCAGGGCCAGGAGGCTGGCAACGCGAGCGTATGCGTGGAAGGGGAGGAGGGGAAGAAGGGTCGCCCGCTTTGAAATGCTAAGAGTGTCCATTTGTTCGATGATGTCCGACCCTTTGGGGGGGAGGGTACGGAGGTTCGAGGGGTTCCGTGCTCGCATTACCTTCACCTTTTTGAGGGGTTCCGTGTTTGTTCATATCGTTGTTTCTCTTGTTTTCAGAAAATGCCTGACTGTTGGGTTTCAGCAAGGCGCTCAATGAATGTGTGTTCTCTTTGAGGCCCTGGATGTTGCAAGAAGCAGGTTCCGATTGCCACGGTGGAGGTCAGGGGCTCCCCCGTAACACTGCTTTAGAACAGGAAGCACAACAAGACGGCTTTAGAAGTGTGTCACTCTTTGCGCTTGGTTCAAATTTGAAGGAGGCATGAGGCATGTGTTTGTTTTGGCACTCGTTGCCGTCGGCTTGGCTGGATTTGTCCAAGTCCAGGCTGAAGCTCTCCAATGGCTGGGGCGACCAAGCTGCTTGCCTCAGTGTCCCATGGGAATGGCCTGTTCCTCATGATCCGCACAGCAGTTGAAACCATATTTGTGATGTCAACGGCATCCTTAGCCACAGGTGGTAGCAGGGATTCCCGTGGATTCCCTTCATGTGCCTCATTGTGTTTATTATTTTGTGTGTGTGTGTGTTTGGGGACATGGTGAAGTTGGTCAGGCAGCAAGCCATTTCGGCGGCCAGTCGGAAGAGCAATTAGTTTGCGACAAAAGACCGTGCAGTGTATTTCGAGAAAAACCTAGTAGTGATCCAAGATGGAGTTGGATTCAAAGCCTTCCAACTACAATTTCTTATTCCGGGTAGACGCGGCTTGTCATGTGGAGTCATCCGTGGCCAGAATCCACTGGGGCCGGGAGAAGGGCTTCGCTGCGATCCAGGCTGCAGCATGCAGCTGGCAGGGGTGATGCAGGCGGGGAACTGCTACTGCTACAGCACTTCGGAATGGTGAAAGGAAAGTGACAAGGGGGGAAAGCACTAAATTGCATCGAATCTAATATCATCTATATAATATCAATGTTTGTTGTTCCTTTAGGCTAAAACTAATTATGATCCTATGTAACTATATGTATTTCTATTTTGGTCAGAGGGTTGCAGGGCAGTCATGGTTTTACGTTTGCTTCCGAGATCGTTGCTTGAGCGACCTTTACGAGCTAAGACATTCCACTTTAAAGGCCCCAACCTGAGAAGGCAACGAGCAGGAGACGCTCCAAACACACCGCTCAACCTCAGCTGTGTGTCACATGTTCTTTTGTTTCCTCGACCGAACAGAGGTGCTTTGCTTGGATGTGTATATATATATATATTTAACATATTGTCCACCGCGTCCCCTCCGGGGGCTCCCACCGCAACCCTGCCAGCAATGAAGACTGTGCAGGAGCTCAATCCTCTTTGGGCATGATGTTGCTCCAGCGTGGCCAACTGAAAGAAGCCGAGGAGTGTGTTCGGTGTTGTGATGAAGTGCACTTTATTAGTGGTGAATATTTATCAGCACCTAGTGCCAAGCTACTAGGAACAAGTGCCACGCTAGTAGTAACAGGTGCCTTACTAGTAGTAACAAGAAGCTACTAGGAACAAGTACCTATTCAAATTGTTGGGTTCAGGTCTTTTCATTTTCTATGCCTACGCAGCCACTCAGCACTTGTTCAGTGTTTTCAGTTCTGGTCACGATTTGAGGTTCATTGGGTAACACTGGCCATGCAGACTGCTAGCATGGCAACGCTCTTTTGAGCATGTTTAAGCTTCATTGGCTCAATCCTTGTGCTTTGAAGGGGTTTTGCCACCCGCTGTTCACTTCAGCTGTGCCATTTGTGTAGATGCCCCCAGGAGTGGTTGGAAGAGGCTGCCGAGCTTGGAAACCCTGTGGCGCAACATGATTTAGGCGCGGATGACTGAGCATCAGGGCCGGATGTTGCAAACCAGATTCAAAGGTGTCAGGCATTCCAGAATTCATGCTCAGCGAGTCTGTGATGGACGTTTTTTTAATGATTGGGTACTTCGCATGTGGCAGTGGGTACAACTCCTTTGGCTGATGTTGGCAGCTTCCGCAAGAATGAAGGCATGGCCCTGTACACCAATGCCCTTGGCAGGAGTGAGAAAAGAAAACCGCCTGTGACCGACCGTGTTGTGTAAGCCAGATGGATAGAGGCGTAATTAATAATGATGAATAACTATGTATATATATACATAGAATATGAGTTGAAGTCAATATTGTATATAGAGCTAGACACACAATAGCAGCAAAAATAGAAGGTGGTGCACTCCGCTTGGCAGAGGACATTTCTTGACTCCCTCCGCGTGTTCCATTTTTCATACCGAATAGATACCCACTGCGACCCACGGTCAGTGAAGAACGCACATGTACTAGTACGAGATGTCACTTCAGCCAATTTTTCCTCAGCTTCATATTTCACAACCAGAGGCTATCCCAGACTGGAAGGGATTCCATGCTGTTGCTCTTCCCCAATTGGTGCAATGTGAGCCAAGCACAACCATTTCCCGACGTTGGCGCCACCGTCAGCCACTAGGAGGGATCGCCGACACGCGGCTTTCCTGTGGCTGGAGCGTGCGGCGAGACAAGGTCATGCAATGGCCTGGGGACTGAGGACATATCGCCCAATTGCGATGCATCGGGGGGGTTATATGGCGCATTTTATGCCGTGTTAACACCTTTGATTCCTGAGTCCGACTTCTTGATGATGTTCAGTTTTAACCAGGCGCGCATTTGAACAATACATGGAATAGAATGGAATATTTATATGATATTTATGTGAGCGGAAAATTCCAACGGAAACACGAGACTCCTGCATGTGTTTTTGGCCCGAAGTCATCCAACCGGCAGCGATGTTTGCTCGTCCCAACGGGATGGGTTCGTGAGTTCGGAGGCAGTCGGAAGCGAGTCATCCTCCATGGAGAAACGAAAAGGCTACAAGACAACGCCCATGTTGGCACTCTCGGTGGTGAAAGCCAACGGTGATCTGGTTGGCACCTTTCACGAGCCGCCAGACTCGTTGGTATCTGGGCAGCATTAATCATTGGGCTGGAGCCCGTCTCTCACTACAGTACATGCTGGCAAGGGGATGAGACGGGTTTTTGCAAAGGGTTGCCTCGGAATGTTCTGGACATGTCACCATTCCAAAGCTTGGTTTATGGTCGTGCCAGGAAACTCTTCCAATTCATCCCATCTTGGAGCCTCAGAACGTCCCGACCTCCCGCCCCGTTTACCCAGGTCCTGCAGCTCCAGCAATCCATCCACGCGCGTGGCGGACCGGCGCCGCCCTTCCAACGTCTCCTGTGTGGCCCTCGGGAGCTTGGCGCCACGGAGTCCCTTTCTTCGCTGCGCGAGGAGGACACGACCTTGCAACTGCTGGTGGTGGTGCCGGAAGGACGACCCTGTGACGTGAGGCGAAAAGAAGATGCAAGTGAAGTCAAGACAGGTCAAGAGGGCATCAACAAGATTAAAGATTAAGCATGTAAATTGTATTGCATTACAACAAGTGAGATACAGAGGGGAGCTCCCCCGGAGAGTGGAGATTTCTTAGTGTGTCAGTCCCACAATGCCGAAGAATGCCCGTCGAATTTGTAGCACGAGGTGGTTGGAGGTCCAGCACACGGACCAGCTGTTAGAAGAACTGCAGGTCGAGTACGTTGAAGAAGGAAGGTCAAAGAGACTTATGCCACTGGGATGAACGCAAGGCGATGGACAAATCAGTAGCGTACAGAGCAGTTCTGAACATCTCAAGGATGACAAATGGTTTTGGCATCAGGAGAAGGGCCTATACAAATTCTGTTCTTTTGGCCGCTCCTGGAGACCCAATTGATGGACTCCAATAGCTATTCTTATAGGTTTTGCACCGTTTTTGTTGTTGTTGTTGTTGTTGTTGT